CGGGCGAAGGGCTTGGTACTGACCTTTCAGCCCGTGCGGCCTGGGGGCCCGAAGGAAGAGCCAGGTACGCCGCGCGAGCCCGCAGCGCTCCCGGGACGGCTGAAGCGCCGCGCGCGGTCTGCCCCGCTGAAAAACGCCCCCGACTTTATTGGGGGACGAATCGGCTCCGAATGTCAGCCGAGGCGGCGTTGATAGGTTCGAGCCGGAGGCGGCGCAGAAGCCCTCAGTCGCTGGGGGCCGACCCCAGCAGCTCCCTGTCACCCGGAGCCGCTCCGGTGAACGGGACAGGGTGACCTGAGAGCGCGGCCGGCGTTCCGGGACCAAGGTCATCCGCTTCGGCCTCCTGCCCACGCGGAGCGCAGCCCTCGTCCGCCGCGGACCCGCGGGGGAGCCCCCATCGCCGGCGCCGCGGCGCTCGGCGGGTCGCGGTGGAGACGGGCCCCCGGTCGACTCCACGTGGATGGAGGCTAATTTGATCCTCAGGACAGCTGAACCGATTTAAAGCAGTGCGTCATCGTGTTTCGTATCGGGGTGGCCGATTTAAAAGGATTTTTTAAATGAGTTCGACACTTGCTAGGCAAATTACAGTCACTGACAATTCGTAGCTTTATGGTTTGCAACTTGGTGAATAAGCCCTTGAGATACTATATGACGCCCCACTCGCCTTATCTTCGAGCTTCTTGTATCATGAACAATGCCTAGACATATATTTTATAACTGTCATTCTTGCTTCAGAAAGTCGGGGACATATACATATGTTTATATGCCACCTCCCACCTATAGCCAACTATTAAAAAATTAGCCGGCTGTACAGTAATAAGCAGGAGTGATTTAAGTTCTGGGAAAACTGAAGACAAATGACAGTAGTAAGCCAGGTCTGATTTTAAAAATATTTTCATTTCTCCCTTCTTAGAGCACGCATTTGGAAACTTTACTACTATAGTTCAAGGAAAGAACTAGAGTATTAATCCTTTAAGGATTTATCTTTGCAAATTATTGAAAGACAACTGAGAATGAAGAATTTTAAGGCTTACCAGAAAAAAGAAAAATTTTAAGACTATTAGAATAAAAGCAAACGTTTTTACTACATTTAGCATGTGGAGATACTTTAAGCTATTCTATGTTCTAACTAGAAATTGTCTGAATAAATGAAATGTCTTTTTCTGGTAACCTGAAGTATCAAAATTAACCAAAATCCATGGATTCTAAAAGGATTAAAAACTAAAGAGAAATAGCATTGCTCTTAGATGTCAAAAAGGCTCTCTAGTTCTTTACTAAGATCAAAGGGGACGGGGCTGGGGATTTAGCTCACTGGTGCAGCTCCTGCCTGGCAAGCGCAAGGTGGTGAGTTCGATTCCCGGTACCAGAAAAAAAAAAAAAAATCAAAGAGGAACCTGATTCCTTGTAGGAATCTGGAGAAATTACCTATTGTCCTTTTTAATTCATTAATGTTAAGTATTCTTACAAATGACACTAGTCTTAAACTTGATCAAGGAGCTCACTGGGTTTTCTTGGTTTATTTCAGATTTAGAAATGTGTATTGGTAAAAATTACCAGCATGAGGACTGTCGGGAATTCACAGAATCACAGTAGTGCTCCACCTCCACATGCATCAGTTTATGAACACTTTACTACCATATCAGAGCCGTACATTTTCTTCAGGTGTGTTCTCCCACACAAACAATTGAGTGTCTAAGTGTGCAGTACATTGTGTAGACGCTTCTAGTCCTAATGAGACTTAGTAGTTTTAATACTTTTCTCATTTCACGTGCTGAGGAAAACAGCAGTATAACTTTGTAAGCACATGCATTTGTACCTTGAACAAACTTTGAACTTCTGTTTATCCAGAACTGTGCCAGGCCTTGAAAAACAATAAAAGATCAAAAATCTCTATCCCGCCCTCAAGAAATCAGTTCGAAAGGAAGTGGAACTGTGGACACTTTTTCAATGATTATGAGGTTTGTCAACTAATACGTATCTGTTAATCCTGACAAGATTTTTAAAATGAAACATTCTGCCAGAAACTGCTGGTTTCCTGGTGTTTCAACAGAGCTATTTTGTTGCTCAAGATTTCATGTTGATGTGATTCACAACAGATGAATCAAAGTGCAAAAAGTTTTTTTTAATGACCCAGCATACCCAGGATCAGAAATCCAAGAGTCTGGAAGAGAAAAAGGTTAGATGGGATGATATTTACTGTTGCTGTTTTTAGGCCTCATCAAAATATTAACACATTCAACTATTATAAGACATTAAGTTTTCAGTATCTGAGTAACTCCTAGAAATACTATTGAAGTAAAATTAGCTCCATGAAGGACACTGTCTGGCATAGAAGTGCTTTAAAATTTATTTATTTATTTATGGATTGGTGGTACTAGAGATTGAATCCAGGGCCTTTGCCCTGGGCTGCATTTGTTTTTAATTTTTTATTTTACTTATTTTCCTAATTTCACTCATTTCCCCAGGCTGGGCTCAAATTTGTAATCCTCCCGCCTCAGCTGCCTCAATGCTGAGATTATATAGGCGTCTGCCACCATGCCTGGCTTGTCCCCTCTTTAAAGAGCTGTGCCTGTGTTCCCATTTCCCCCAAATTCCTGTTCAACAACTAAAATTTACCACTTGCCTCCTTTTTACTATATAAATTATTTGTGTCAATGTCACATTTGTGTAATAGCCAAATCTAAAGGTTTTTCAATTTCCAAAGTATCTGACCTCTGCAGCTGTGAACATACTAACCACTGTCTCTTGGAAACTGCTTCTTCAGTTCCATCACCTTACCTTTTCTCCTAGCTCTTCCTGTTGTCCTGGGCCATTCTTCCTCAGGTCCTCTGCCTGTCCAACTTTGGTTCCCTCTGTCCACTATATTACAGTCTCTGACAGTCCCCTTCATAATCACTTTGTCTATGGAGTCATTCGGGGATCAAGTTTGAATCTTGAAGACAGATCTCACTCAGAAGCTTTGAGACACAAAATTTTCAAATCCTTTTTGGAAAGTTGTACTAGACGTTCTGCAAACACTTCAGACTCAGCATGTCTAAAATTAAGCCTCTGGATTTGTCTCATTTGCAACCATTAATTGAAATGGGGATAGCTGTGCAAAAGAGTTTGGGAGAACAAGCGAGACTTAGTTCTAGCAGTGTTACATTTGAGAACCCTATCAGGATATGTGAGTTGGAGACTGCTAGTTGACCGTGAATATGCATGAACATTAGTATAATAAAGCCAGACACAGGGTTACCAATAATAAACTCCATGATCTGGCCAATGGAATTGTGAGTAGAAACAATTTTGCATCTTCCACTTTGCGCTCTAAAAGAAGTGGAGCTAAGCATGACGGCAGCATGCATCTGCAGTTGGAGCTGTTTGGGAGGGCGGGTCAAGAGATTGCTGGAGCCCAGAAGTTCAAGGGTTCAAGACCAGCCTAGGCAACACAGGAAGACCTTATCTCGAAGAGGAGGAGGAGGAAGAGAAAAAGAAGAAATGGGATGTCCTCTTCCCATTTGCCTTTCTTGCTTTCTGGTGATTGGAATGTGGCTGTACTAGTGAGCTATGTTGGAGGTTTTGAATGACGTCTTCTCTAAAATTCATGTTAAAACTTACTCGCCTTTGTGGTGGTGTTAAGAGGCAAGGCGTTTGGGGGAAGTGATTGAATCATAAGAGATCTGCCCTTGTGAATGGATTCGTGTTCTCATAAAAAAGCTGGAAGGGCCATTTGTGTTGGCACCTATCAGTAATCCCAGCACTCAGGAGGCTGCAGCCAGAGGATCGCTGTTAGTTTCAGGCCAGTCTGGGCTACATAGTGAGGTCAAGACCAGCCTGGGCTACATGGTGAGTTCAAGGCCAGCCTGAACTATATAGGAAGACCCTGTCTCAAAAGCACCCCTACCAAAAAAAAAGAGCTGGAAGGAGCTACTTTAGGCTGTCCTTTGCCCTTCTGCAGAGGATATACAAGGCACCACCTCTGAAATAGAGTGGCCCTTGTCAAAACAGAACCTCCTGGGCCAGCAGAAGATTCCCCCCGCTCCCGCGCCGGCCACAGTACACTTCAGTTTGTTGGTTGCCTGGGTAATAGTTCCAGTTACATTTCCTGTTACCTTTGCTTCTTAGATATAGCTGGTCACTGTGATGCACATTGTGTAAACCAATCCCCAACTGACAAGCCATTCTGCCTCTGTACTTCCTGCTTGCTTATCCCATGTAAGCCCTGGACCACCGGAGATCAGGGCCTGATATTTTGGGAATGATCCCAGTCAGTGCCCATCAACACAAATAAATCTGCCTCTAACTCCGGAGTGTCCTTTCAGTGTTTCTGCTTGCTGTTGCACCGGCTGACACCTTGATCTTGGACTTGCTAGCTTTCAGAGCTACGCAGAAATACATTTCTGTTCTTGATAAATTTCCCAATCACCAGTTTTTTGTTAGTACAAACAGGCTCAGACAGAGGGAAACATTCTAGGGATTACAAAGCAATAAGTAGGTCCCTGAGGACCTCATTTGGCAAACTCCGAGTCTGCTCAAACTTCAGTGTGAGGCAGCTGCTAACTTGGGAAATCTCTGCAGTGGTTCTAGATCTCTTTCACTGCTGAACTTGTGTCCTAATATCCAGGTGAAGATATCAAAACGTCGATGACTCACTGTACTCTCGGCGACAGTCCCTAATCATAGTAATGTTAATTAATAATCCTGGATTTCTTCCTGTACCTTAACTGCAAGTCATATATTTCTTAAAGAATTATTACTATTAGGTAATAAATGGTTAAGAGCACAGGCTCTCAATTTGCTAGCAACTACAAAAATGTCAGGCTATATCATAAACCCCTAATTTAATTTCCCCATGTAAAAGGGGGTTAATGTGAGGACTAAACGTTAATACGTAAAGCACTTAGAAGCATGTTGGTCACATAGTGTAAAATTAAGAAAGATACATTTTGTTTTGTCTTTTTGAGACAGGGTCTCGCTATGCAGTTCAGGCTGGCCTTGAGCTTACTTTATAGCCCAGACTGGTCTCGAACTCGTGACGATCCTCTGCCTCAGCCTCCTGAGTCCTGGGATTACAGGCACGCGCTACCACACCCTGCCAGATATGGTTTTTGTTTTTGTTTTAGC